CACACGTATCTCTACACGACACCTTTCACATCTCCAACGCATTGTGAAGCATTTTGCAGCAAATCACTGCCCTGTGAATGTACTGTAGCCAAATTTTCAGACAACACAAAAATAGCTAAAAAGGACAATTGCAAAAGGAATACAAACACTTTACACAGAGATATTGACAGGTTAAGTAAGTGGACAAGAAGTTAGCAAATTGAGTATAATGTGGTAAAATGTGAAGTTGTGAAGTTGTTCACTTTGGATGGAAGAACAAAAGAACAGATATTATTTAAGCGAAGAAAAAACCTGTACAAAGCTGCATATTGGAGGTAACACCATGTGGAGGTGGAGGAACACAGCAGGCCAGGCAACATCAGAGGAGCAGAAAAGTTGACGTTTCAGGTCAGGACCCTCCCTCAGAAAAATCTTTGAGGGACTTGTGCACTAAACACAAAGTTAGCACACAGGGCAGCAGGTAATCAGGAATGCTAATGGAATGTTGGCCCTTATTTCAAGGGGATTGGAGTATAAGAGTTGGGAATTCTTAATGCAATTGTACAAGGTGCTGGTGAGACCACACCTGGAGTACTGTGAGCAGTTTTGGACTCTTTATTGAAAGAAAGATATAATTTCATTGGAGGAAATTCACAGAGGGTTGAATAGGATCATTTCCAGTATGGAGTGAGTGTCTTATGAGCAAGGGCTAAACAGATTGGGGCTCAACTCAATGGAGTTTAGAAGAATGAGAGGTGATCTCATTGAAACGTATTTGAGTCTTAAGGGGCTTGACAGAGTAAATGCTGACAGGAAGTTTCCTCAATTGGGAGAGTTTAGGACCTGAGGTCGTAGTCTCAAAGAGGCACCAATTTAAGACTGAGATGAGGAGGAATTTCCTATCCCAAAAGGTTAAGAGTCAGCACAATTACTGTGGGGACAAAGTCCTCTCTGTATGCTTAAGGTAGAGATAGAATTTTTGATCATTGGATGTGAAGGATGTTGGATCAGCCATGATTCTATTCAATGGCGGAGAAGGCGCGAAATGACCTACTCCTAATTGCATTTCTTATGAACTTAGATTTTCTGAGTGTAGTCACTATCGCTGAATGGATAAACGTAGCAGGCATCTTCCACAGCAATGTCTCACAACCAACAATGGTTGAATGTTGGGTTAATCTAGTTTTATAGTATCAATTGTCAGGGAATGATTAATGGTCAGGATATTAGATTTCCCTACTCTTCAAAAAAAAAAATGGCATTCTTCTATCTGAAAAGGCAAATGGGGTCCTCAGTTTTACATGGCATCTGACAATGTACCACTCTCTCAGCAGTGTACTAAATTGTCAGCTTAGAGAAAAGCTCAACAACTTGAGTATCTATAAGGATTTAGCAGCCCTGAGTCCAGTAAGTGTTTCAGGTTCATATGTTCCATTTATACCATGTAACCTCCCACAGGAGGAAAATTTGACAACACACTAAGGAAAAAGAAAGTTCATCTGATTCATTCTTTCCAAGAAACTAAAGGAAAAACTGAAAGCAACGTTCTGAAAACAGTAACTATTCCAGTTCTCTTCTATAAGTAATTCATTGTTCAGAGGTTTGCCTCTTTTAGCTTCACAAGTTAAAAATAATTTGGTTCGTGGTCTTGACATGGAGGAATGTGATGGTTACTCCTGGAATGCTAACCTGAATGTCCTCAATGGACTCTAAATGATCTGACAAGTATTTTCAGTTTTGCAAGTGACTTGGAAGCCTCTTTTTCTGCACAAAAGGGAGTATTTCTGGTTTTGGGCGATAGTGTAAAATGGGCAATAGTGGATCAACTTATACATCTCTTCTAATCAGGTCAAAATTTCTCCCAAACAGTGATCCCACATGCAGTGGGCTTTTAGAGAGTTTCCCTCTCGTGGCTGGTATCTAGGACTCCTGTGGGTCTTTGTATGGACATATGCAATTTGGAAAAAGCTCAAAGTGATATCCTTCATGGTGGAACTATGTGTTAGCCTTCAATCTAGGCTGATATGAAGAAAAGCCACCTGGACTCAGCACCAGATGGCTAGAGAGGCTGCAAATGTATTAGATTCAGAAGTGCAAAAGTCGGAATTGCTATGATTGGAAAGAGACCAGAACTCCATTATCAATGGCCTCTCTCATACATATACTAGATGTGAAAAAACCACAATTCAGTGTTACACAAATAAGAGATCGAGATTCTATAAAGACTACATGCAAGACATTCACAATCCATCAACACAATTTCAATATATAATTAATACTACACGTGAAACTTCCATTTACAATTAATACTACCCTGTGAGAACTCCATTTACAATTAATATTACATGTGGGACATACATTTACAATTAAGAGGGAAGCGACAACTACATCCAACAAATGATTAACTGAAAAAAACACTCTCAGAGGGGAAAGGAAGTAAGCCAAAGGTTTGTTGATAAGGATTGGCCACACAGAAAGCACCATTAATTCCTATAGCACTGGAGCTGTATGTTTCTGTGAATCAGCCAGGAAGCTTCCCACACTTACTGACTTATCTGCTGACTGCTTGCGTTCAGTCAGCTCCTGGAGCACATTTTCAACTTCCTTCATAATAACTATTAAGCATTAGGTCACGGCATTCCAAGCTGGGCGTGGGGCGTGGCAAGGGGGCGGAAGGATGCGATGTTGGACAGTCCACGTGGAACACTCTCCATGTTGCCTGGCATCTTGTACTTTGCATAATGTTCAACAATCCTGTTCATCCTGCTTGCCCTACTTCTCAAACTGAACTGTAACTGACTGGGTTGTGGTCAAGACAGAAACAGGAAGAGGTGGCTCGAGCAAAACTAAACCTTTAAGATGGACCCACTTGTCCCAGTGATCTTTTCCTGAACCATTATTATAAAGACACATTGCTTAGTTTTAGTGAAGGGCTAATAACACAACAGAAAACATGTCTTGTGCAGTACTTTACAAGAGATTTCCCCCAATTGAAAAGGACATTCTTTTGCTGAGAGAGCAAGTGACAGCAGAGAGAACCACCATTTGTTGTCATCATACATGCAACACCCATTGCAGTTTGACCTGTTACAAGGCTTCTTCACCATTATCATACTTCTGACATCTTAAGTGTGTCAAACATACACTAGATAGAAGATGATATACATTATACTTCTCTGTTCTCTCCTCTCTGGTGATAGTACACCATGGAGGTTGAGACACATTAGTGCAAGAACCTAACTCAGGTCCATTAGTATCTGGTGCATCACTGAACCATGTGAAAGTCCTAGGCTTTATTGCTGCCCTCTGCAATGCTAGCTTATCTCAAGGCTGGGATTCTGCCTCTATCCATTGCTGTAATGCCCTTGCTCCACTGAGAAACCAAGCAAAATAAGGTCAGCCTGGCTTCCTACTTTGCTTAGTCATATTGTAAAGTGGGAGTGAGTGTATCAGCTAAAAGCAGAATGTAGCTCAGCTGCATGGTGGAGTCACTGCCAGGAAACGTATTTACCCACCAAATCACCTGAAACTACCAAATCCTTGTAATTTTTGGTCTCTGCCATTGGCTCTCTGTTCCTCTCTGAAACTAACTACAGCTCACTCCAAGTCTTGCTTCAAACTTCTACTGCTCAGTTACCTTCTGTCCTGTGTTGTGTAACACTGTCAGTCCCTCATAATGTGAAGCACATTGGAACAGTTTATTAAGTTGAGGAAGCTATATAAATGCAAGTTGTTGGTTTGGGTTGAGGACAGTATTCTCCTTGACTGTGATCACCTGCAGTTGACTGCCCCTAATATTTCTATCCCGAGAATGCACCTACTTGGACAAGGTCCTGGAATATTACAGTCACCAAAGGGGTAATTGTCTTACATGACTGGAAAGGTCAGGAAAGAAAATGAAAGGAAGAACTGGAGCCAGTGTTAAGCAACAAAACCTCAGCGTAATAAGGCCTCAACTCTCACTGCATTGTTCCTGGACCTCCCTGCAATTTATCTTGAAACAAAAGCCTTGATTAGCACTGTCTGTGAAGACAGTGTGTCCTAGGTCAGGCAGGTTACTGAGTAACTTACTTTATAAATCCCTAGTCAGTTGGCCAAGAGAATACCATGTGAGGACTCTTGTTTGATTTTTGAAATTTTTGCCACGTGTTTTAAGGAAACAAAATCCTAAACGCAGAGACAATCTACCCTACGGTTATGGGGATGGGGGATGGGGCACAGGTATTGTGAGACAACTTGGATCTCACAATGAATCTAAGGAAGACCACTGGGTAGTTCACTTAAAGCCAGGGAATCAATAGCATTTTTCTGGGACAATCTTAAGAATGTTGGAGTGGGGTCAAGTGTGAAAAACCAAGGGTCAGGGCAGTTCAGTCACTCCAATTATATATTCTGGAACAATGTAATTATACCACTGCACCCACCCACTGACCATCTTTCCTGTGGCGAGGTTTCTTCACACCCTGGCTGCTCACAGTCACAAGAACATGGGATGATACACTCCTGGGCCGTCTAACTACCCATACCTCTCCATGCCCTGACTTCCTTTCACCCACCCTCCCCAAGGCTATCCGCTCCCATATACTCCCATTCCCTCTTCGTTGTCTCATCTCGCCCTTCAATATTTTCTTTTCATCAATCCCTTCCCCTTTAGTCATCCTCTCCCCAGTTGCCCATTCTGACTCTTCCAACTTGCCTTTTCATCCCTCACCCCAATTTCAAACCGCAATCCCCTGTACATCTTCGACTTTCCCCACTAACGCCCTCTCCCCGACTCTCTTCCCCACAGAACCCCCCCCCCGCCATTCGCCCCCACCCCCCCCCCCGCCCAGACCCTCTTACCCATCGACACCCCCGCTTCGACTCTCTTCTTCGTAAACCCCCACCTGCTCCAACTCTCTTCCCCGTAAACCCTTCCTCAAGTCTCTCAATATCCTCCTCCCCAACTATTTCTACCCCCACAACGCCAGTTGACCCTCTCTCTCTCTTCCTCAGCCCTAGCCCGACCCCTGTAAACTCACCTTGTACTTCCTGGGTTTCTTGATGAAGGAGGTCCTGGCAGTGAAGAACTGTTCAAACTCTGAGTCTTCTTCTTGACTGCAGTAACCACTGCTGCTAGTGCTGGTCCACGTCATCTGGAGTATCGAGGAGAGGAGTGGGGGGGAAGTGAATGGAAAATTGGAAAGATAAAAAAAAGCAATAACCCACTGAAAGTGGAGGAAAGCTGGCCTCAGCGGCCTGTGAAAGATCTCACACACAAAGCCCTGGACTTGATATGGGTAGATACGCTGTGCTATTACTCACTCTCTCTCTCTCTGGGTTGCCTCTGTATTGTCTCAGCTCAGTGCTGGGGGCTTCTGTCTCTCTCTTTCGCAGCAGCCGTTGAAATTGGAATGTACACACGCTGCTGATTCCCAGAGCTGATTTGCTGCGGGAAAGGGCTGGGAATGTGTGATCTAATCCGGATCCGCCTCCTTCCTGCCTTTTACGTGCAATCCCACTGATTTCATTCTCAAACTATTCCAACTGCTAAATATAGTGGCTTTAACCCCTGCCATGCCAAGTCACTGCAAAAAAGTGTCAGAAAATAAAAACTGTAGCAGGCCTGAACAGGGCTTTGGATAGAAAGCGGTGCACAATGGAAAGACAGGAAGAAACAGCAAGGGAGGGAAGAGGAAACGAAGAGGAAACAAAGAGGGAGGGTGGGATTGGGGGAAGGGATGTAGGAGAAGAAGGAGGGATGCAAGTGGGGAGGAAATAGGGAGGGGAAGGGAGCAGGGAAATGGAGAACATGGGAATGGAGGAAGGGGAATGGGGGAGAGCAGTGAGGTGGATGGGACTGCGATGGGGACAGGGGAAGGGAGAAAAGGCAAAGATAGAGAGAGGGAGAAAGCGAAAGGGAGGAAGATGGAGGAGCACGGGGGAAGGGAATAGAGTCAAGGGAGGAGGGAAGTGAGAGGAAGCAAGGATTGGAACATTCAGATCGAACAGGGCAATTGAAAGCGAGGGAGCAGGGAGGAAGGGGGTATAGCAGGAAGGTTAAGGAAAGTAGGGAAAAAGAAGGCTGGAGGGAGGGGAGGAGAGAGAATAGAAAGGGAAGGGGTGGAAGAAAGGGAGAATAGAGAGGAAAGAGAAACTGAAGGGAGGGGGAGGTGGAAGTAAAGGGAGGGGTGGAAATGGGAAAAGGACAAAAAAGAGGTGAAGCAGACAGGATCAGATTACGCAGAAATTCAGGCGGAACTCGGCATTTCCTTTGCAAACTTCCAAACTCTGGGAACAGCTTGGGCCACAACTCAGTCCCCAGCAGTGAGACATAAAGAGATAAAGAAAAGTTCAGCACACAGAACTCACCATGTGCACCCAGTCCAGAGAGCAACACCCCTAACCTGTGCCTTTCTAATGTTCCTGGCCTGTACCATCACATTGAGCAGTCAAATCACTGAAAAAAGTCATCAGAGAGAAGGCAGAAATAAATTCATCCTGGCAACTAGCCGTAAAATATCCAGTAGGTCTGGCAGTATCTGTGAAAAAAAAATCAGAGTTAACGTTTCAGAACTCAGAGGAAGGGCCACTGGACCTGAAATGTTAACTCTGATTTTTTCTTCACAGATGCTGCCAGACCTGCTGAGCTTTTCCAGCAACTTCTGTTTTTGTTCCTGATTTACAGCATCTGCAGTTCTTTTGGTTTTTATTTTGTGAAGTACTTAGTGCTTTTCTTGAACAAGATTGGTGGAGGGGGAAAGTTGTACAGCATCAAGAAGAGTTCTGATTATTGCTTTCTTGTTGGCTGTTGCCTTTGTGAAATTCCATGTCCTTGTCAATAGATTTTCCTCGACTAATCTCACCAAATCTAATGACTTGGTCCAGATCACATATCAGCAGTGTGTTGTGCTGAGCTTCCGCAATTCCTACATTCCAATAGTGACCACACTTTCAAAGTACTTCATTGTCTGTGAAGCTCTTTGGGATGTCCAGTGTGTGTGAAAGATGCTATATAAATGCAAATTCTGCATTTCTTTTAGTCCTTGTACATGTCCCCCACAGCCTAAAGCATGGCAAACTCATCCTAGAAGTTTGTTATTGCTGAAAGCTGGACCTTCTCTTTCAGAACTAAATGACTCAAGATGCACAGACCATCCTATAAATCCGACTGGACTGGACTCAGAACTTTTACACACAATTTTGCTGACCATCTCTGTGAATTGGAGCTGGGGGAAGGGTAGTCAGGGTAGATCAACAAAGCAGCAAATTTATCATTTTGACCTTCTGCACCCCTATTCTCCCAACTGCAACTCCTTGTCAAGTGAAGCCTTGCTGGAAGTCACCAGATCTGTAAGGTAATGCTACTATCAGTTCGCAAACAAGCTGTTGCCACTTTTGTCATTCTCTGTTGGACAGAGTGCCTCAGCCTGGCTGAAGGATTGGATAAGCATATTCATCACAAACCCATGTTCACTGCCTGCCTTGCCAGTCAGAATGGGCTAGATGGGTCTATCACCAACATAAAGCAGCAAGTGGAAGCCATTTTGCTCCAAGTACATTGGGCCTATGTCTCTGTTTACCTTTTAAACATCCTTTAAAACTCTTTTCCCTTGAGTTCCAACTGTTACACGTTGCCATGACAGGTCCTAATCAGTCTCACACAACAGCATCCTGGGTCACTTTTAAAAAAAAAACAGCTGAGGGTGTTCTGCTTATTGTCCTGCTCATAGTTATTCCCTTGTATTTAGATTGGAATCAATGTTGTACATTTCCACCCACCCTCAAGAATGGGTGTATGGTCCATCCATCCACAGTTAGCTGTAATCCATGACTGACCGTGTGTGGCACCCTGTTCACTACAATTCTGCACACTGCTGTCATCCCTCCCGTCTCACTGATATACAACTGAATGCAACAGTAGTATTATAACTGGACCCTCCACTCAACACCTCTCACCAGCTTCCCATCCTTACAAACATCACTCCCCCACTCATCTGCCAACATGATTTTTTTCTAAGATGGCTCATCCCAAGATTGTCTCGAGGGCTAATTTTCATTTTCAGGGACTGATTTTCTCATTCTTCCTGCCTTCTTTATTAGATGATACAATCACTTAATAATGTTATTTTGCGTATTTCTAAATCCAAATACTCCATAAGTCAACAAAGCAAAATCAGAAGAATTCATCATTATCTTCAATAATTTCCAAACATCCTTTACATTTATAACCACAACCAAAGCATTTGTTTCCTAGACAGTGCGGGATTTAAATTGGCACAAGACAACATGTACATGTCAACACATTTCTTCTTCAAAATAACTGACATACACTCCTATACAAAAAAGCCATAACTCTAAACACATCATCCAGATAGGTGGTCACAATTAAGGCATTTTCATCACATTTTCATAAAGTTGGAATATTTCAACCAGGCAATTACAATCCTTCTTACAGCATCTCAAACCATAGATTAAATTTTAAAGTTGTTGCAGTATTCATTACAATAGCAACCACTGCATTTTTCCCCATGAAGCTGTTCCTAACTATATGCTACCTTCAGCCAGAGATGCCACAATCATTTGCAAGTCAGTTATACCTGAAGTGACTTCAAGTTTTCCTAAGTCCCAGGTAACTGAGTGCTCTTTTGATGAAAGGTTTGCAACTATTTTCACCCCACCATCTTGCAGCTTTCCTCTCTTGCCCTCCCTTGCAGTCTTCTCTCTCTCACACCCCTTCTTGCAGTCTCCCTCTCCCCCTCTCTCTCTATCACTCTCTCACCCCTCCTTCCAGTGTCCCTCCCTCTCCCTGTCACCCCTTCTTGCAGCTTGACTCCTTTTGACACCCTCCGCACAGCCTCCTTTTCTTTCTGCCCAACACCTTGTAGTCTCCACACCCTCTTTCACAAAGAACAAGCATGTCCCCTCATGCCCCGTTCGTTGCACTTTCCCAGTTTTCCACCCACCCCTAAGCTCTCACCATCTCCCTCCAGCATCCTCATAGCCACTCTCTATCCCCTCAAGCATCCTTGCAGTCTCCTTGTCTCTCCCCATTGCAGCCTTGCTGCCCCCCCTTTACAACCTCTCTGTTACTCCACTCTTCCCTTTGCCACATGCCTGTCTTCCACATCCCCCTTGTCTGTCCCACACTCTCCCCTTGCTGTCACCCTACCTCTTCCATCCCCTTGCCAACACCCTGTCTTCCACTTCCCAACCCCCTTTACAGCCTCTCTGTCTCATCCCCAATGCATTCTAATTTCCTCAGACCTAGGGTCAGAATTAGGCACTATTCTTTCCAATGAACTAACAGTGGATGTGTTAAAGAAATAGACTTACACTTCAGTGCTAATTGACTAACCCAGGATGAGGGTGCAAAACCTAGTAAATCCTCCACCATTCCTCTACCCCACTCCCAAACCTTCTCACTCCTCCAACTAGTCCTGGCTAGTAACCGATTGTCCAGCACATACATCAAATCAATGACTGTTAATAACGTTTCTGGCCCAGTCATCTGCCGAAGTGCATGAGGGCAGTGGAGCACTGGTTCAGGAGGAAGACCCCCTTCCCACTGTCCTCTTCAGGATACATTTTTGCATTATTTCTGTTCTCCTCCTCTTCATGAGGTGATGAGGGAAATGGTTCAAGGTATCCGAGAACATGCTGACCCTAGGTCAGCAGCTTCCTACCACTGGCCCCATTCCTGTATCTTTTGGCGATTTTAACCCACTTCAACAACCTGTGGCTACCTAATCCATTGAACTATTCACCTTCTCTCTGCACAGCCACTGTGGAACTGAGCTACATTGAGGGCTGACATAGGACAGTGAGTTTCCTCCACAACTATTGCCAAAATCCAGATTGGAAAGTGGGAGCTAGAATACAGGTTGGGTTCTAGGGCACAATTTTCACATATGCATTGGAGCTCCATCACATATGCATTGGAGCTCCATCACTGGGATCAAATGGGGAGCATCAGCCTGCAATGTAAGGGAAACAATCATTTGCCCCAAATTCGACATCAGAGATGGACAATAGTTGTATAATTAATGATACGGGGTGATTCTCTTGAAGCTGGAGGGCCAGTAGAAAGCACTGAAAAGCATCAGTCTGCTGTTTGGTAAATGAAGTGTGTGTGTGTCTGGTTAAGTGTCTGAGT